GTAGGCAACCGACTGCTGCAACCAGAACTACTGTAGGCAACCGACTGATGCAAACCAGCGCTACTGTAGGCAACCGACTGCAGCAACCAGCACTACTGTAGGCAACCGACTGATGCAACCAGCGCTACTGTAGGCAACCGACTGCAGCAACCAGAACTACTGTAGGCAACCGACTGATGCAACCACAGCTACTGTAGGCAACCGACTGATGCAACCAGCGCTACTGTAGGCAACCGACTGCTGCAACCAGCGCTACTGTAGGCAACCGACTGCTGCAACCAGAGCTACTGTAGGCAAACCGACTGATGCAACCAGCACTACTGTAGGCAACCGACTGATGCAACCAACAACTACTGTAGGCAACCGACTGATGCAACCAGAACTACTGTAGGCAACCGACTGATGCAACCAGCGCTACTGTAGGCAACCGACTGATGCAACCAGCACTACTGTAGGCAAACCGACTGCTGCAACCACAGCTACTGTAGGCAACCGACTGCTGCAACCAGAGCTACTGTAGGCAACCGACTGATGCAACCAGAGCTACTGTAGGCAACCGACTGATGCAACCCAGCACTACTGGTAGGCAACCGACTGCTGCAACAGCGCTACTGTAGGCAACCGACTGATGCAACCAGCACTACTGTAGGCAACCGACTGCTGCAACCAGAGCTACTGTAGGCAACCGACTGATGCAACCAGCACTACTGTAGGCAACCGACTGCTGCAACCAGAGCTACTGTAGCAACCGACTGATGCAACCAGCGCTACTGTAGGCAACCGACTGCTGCAACCAGCGCTACTGTAGGCAACCGACTGATGCAACCAGAGCTACTGTAGGCAACCGACTGATGCAACCAGCACTACTGTAGCAACCGACTGATGCAACCAGCACTACTGTAGGCAACCGACTGCTGCAACCACAGCTACTGTAGGCAACCGACTGCTGCAACCAGCGCTACTGTAGGCAACCGACTGATGCAACCAGAGCTACTGTAGGCAACCGACTGATGCAACCAGAACTACTGTAGGCAACCAACTGCTTGACTTCTTTAGCACATTTAAAACAGGTAACAAAGTGCAAACAGACCAATGGAACTGCAACCACTGCAACTTTTCTGACACTAGTTGTATCATCCAAACTACCTGCTGCAACCTCAGTAATACCTGCAACAAACTACAGCAACTAGGGTTAGAAATCTGAAACTACCTGCTGCATCTACAACACCAGAAACCAAAAACTGAAACTGCAATTCAGCCTGCAAACAAAATGATAATCACAACACCAACTAGTACCAACTAGTGCTAACATGTCAAATGAATGTTGCAACTACAGAGCAATCTTAGACCAACAACTGCAACTGTGCAACCACCTGCAACTAATGCAACCAGTGCTAACCTCTACAGTACCTTCTGCAAATACGTTAATACCTGCAACTAACTAAAAACTGCAACAAAACCACTGCAGCTAAAGCTAATATCTACAGCTGACTATTGCAACCATATACTGCAACTAGTCCTAACAAACCCAACTACCAGCTGCAACTACAATAATATCTACAGCTGACTATTGCAACTAGTGCTGTTGTCCGCAGCCAACTATTGCAACTACAGTAACATCTGCAACCATCTACACCAATCACAGCAACGAAAATGTCTACCATGTACTGCAACTAATGCTAATATCTGCTAACCAACTGCTGCTACAGAACAATCTGCAAACAACTACAGGAACTGCAACAAGTTCTGCAAACGATAACAAAAAAAATATTGCTAATACTGCAACCAGCTACGACAACCAGCAACTGCTACCATCTAATGCAACTAGTGGTAACATGTTCAAGTGAAGGTGTAATTAAAGAACAACCTGAACCAACAACTGCACAACCACCTGCAACTAATTCTACCATCTACTGCAACTAGTGTTTACATCTACAACTACCAGCTGCAACTACAATAATACCTGCAACAAACTACAGCAACTAAAGCTAACATCTACAGCTGACTACTGCAACCATTTACTGCAAATAATCCTAACATCGACAACTTCCTGTTGTAAATAATTAAAAAACTACTTAAACGGCAATGCTCCAGCAACCATCAACAACAACCTCAGAAATACCTGCAACAAACCACAGAACTAAAGCAATATCTACAGCTGACCACTGCAACCATCTACTGCAACTACAGAAGAATCTGCAACCAACTACAGAAACTGCAACATCTGCAAACAACATTTATTGCAACTAACATGAGTCAGAGACAGCTGCAACTAACTACAGAAACTAAAGCGAACATTTAAAGTGAAAAACATCCTAAACTACCCACTGCAACACCAAAAAAACAAATGCTGAAACTGCAACCAACAACCATAATCACAACACAACTGCAACGAAAGCTAACATCAACAGCCAGCTACTGCAACTTGCTAACATCTCAAACTACTTTTGTAACAGAAATTGCATCTTCCCCTGAAGCTAAGTATTGAACTGTGCACCTG